CCAGGACTCACTGCAGTACAGGAGTGTGCTTAGGACACAGGCTCTATAGACCTGGATCTTGGTATGTGTCGTCAGCTTCTTATTGAGCCATACTCTCTTTGTGAGTCTAGAGAACATGGTGGCTGCTTTCCCAATGCATTTATCCAGCTCGACATCTAGAGAGAGTGTCAGAGATGGTTGAGCCAAGGTACACAAAGTCATGAACAACCTCCAATTCTTGCGTGGAGATGGTAATAGAAGGAGGTGAGTCCACGCCTTGGCCCATGACTTGTGTTTTCTTCAGGCTGATTGTTAGTCCAAAGTCTTGGCAGGCCTTGCTGAAACGATTCATGAGTTCTTGGAGGTCTTCAGCAGAGTGGGCAACAATGGCTGCATCATCTGCGAAGAGGAAGTCCCGCATGCATTTCAGTTGGACTTTGGTCTTCGCTCTCAATCTAGTGAGATTAAAGAGCTTTCCGTCTGATCTAGTCCGGAGATAGACACCTTCTGTTGCAGTTCCAAAAGCATGCCTCAGCATGACAGCATGATGTACAAAATGTAGCATTTTGTATTCTGCCACCATTTATGTTCCATTTCCAAGGCTCAATGTGCTTAAACACCCATTCACTTCGGCTTCATGCTAATCTGACTACTTTAAATAATAAAAGCTACAGCTAACAAAAGGACACTGTCACAAGAACCCTGCCTTATCCCTTCATACAGCACACTATACCAAATACACAGTAATACAGTAATAGAATGGCAAAAGATCGCCACAAAATGAATTGTAAGAAGTCAGCCTATGTATACACCTAAACTCAAGTTCATCGGAAGTCTAGATTAAGCAAAGTTAAGCATTACGTACAGCTGTCCATTCTTCTCAGTGTAAAAACGCACTGATTTTATGGTTGCCACAACCACAACCATGCACAGGGTAACAGGCACAAACAGCATTATGACATGCTTTGCTCCATATTTCAAGGTCAACTCTTCCTCTTCTCCGTCCAGGGCAACGGGTGCTGTTGTTGCTCTATTAGAATCAGATACGTTTCCATCAGGAGTTTTGTTCACGCTACTGCTACTGCCAGTACGTCTTTTCTGCAAGGAGAAAACAGAACAGGCGTTAGCTGCTAGCAGGTGTGGGTCAAATCCACCCTGTAGAGGCGATGCTACCTAGACAGACAGTTACAAGGTATGCAAGAAAGCAAGTGGGAAGAAGAAACAGCAAGAGAAGCACAAATGAAAGCTAAATTATACTTTTTCTCAAGGACACCCAAATGTCATAGAAGCATGCAAACTTTCAGGTACTTCAGGACTCTTCATCAAGCTAGGGGATATTAAAATACGGAGAAGGAAGATATGAATGGTCCAAAAATTAGGCCAGAGATTATTACCAGTGGCTTAGTGTTTGAGGGGGAGGAAGTCACCCACCCACTCCAGTGTCTCTCCAGCTAACCCACCTATGAATAAGAGAAATGCTGATGGAATCAGCATCCACTTCCTTTCCTCACAGCCAGTGTGGTATAGACATTAGAGTCCTGGGCTATTATTTGGAAGATTCAAGTTCAAGTATCCACAGAATCACTAAAATTAGCAGACTGAGTGGTCCATCACCCACTGTGAGCTTGACCTATGTCACCATTATGAGGAGAAGAGGAGGGATGAGGAAAGCCTTGTACGCTACCTTGAGCTTACTGGAGTGAAGATGGAACATAAATGCAATTGATAAACGATGCAATTACATCACACATTCTCATTGCACCACAAGCTAATCTGATTAAATGCCAAACTCAAGGTTGATTGACATCTACAGCAGAGGCGGATGATCTCTAGAGGTGCAGGGGCCACATACTCTCATATCTGGAGCCTGGAGGGTTGTATTTTACCCTGTAACTTCCAAATTCTTACAAAATATCAGGGTTCTTTCTTTTACTCAAAAAGCCATATTGTATCCTTTAGTAGTTTTTTTTTTTTTAAACACAACAACCTTTGAGATGCATGACGGGATCCTAGGGGTCCTGGGGGGGCTCAAAAACTGCTCCCCACACCCCCATAGAGGAACACTGGAGTTTCTCAAGGATTTTTTTTTCAAAACCATTGAGGGTGATGGGCCTACTGGGGAGCCCTGCTCAACAGCTTGCAATCTGGAAACTCGAAAGAATGTGTTGTGTTTGGCACAGACATGGACCTATCCCACAGAAGTAGTTTCCTCCAGCTGTGTCACTGTGGCCTCTTGTAACCCACCAAATGAATGGATCCTTATGGGAGACCACTAGGGTGTTCCAAATGCAGACCCTGGACTACCCACTGCTTCACCCTGATCTAAATTATTGGAGAAGAATCAGTCCCTCTCAAGAGGGATCATACCTTCACCTGCAGTCATTCATGCTAATATTTCAAAAGAGGAAAAGATGAAGGAGTGCCTCAGGAAAGCAAAGGAAGAAGGGACCAGTACAACAGGATGTTGGATTTCATCTTATAGAAGCTCCAGTCAACTTAGCCAACAGTAAAGGATCATGGAAACTGTAGTCCAAAACATATGGAGAGCTAGACGTTGCCCATCCCTACTGGAGAATGAACAGGACCAGCATTATACTGGACAGGCTATTCTCTTTTCAGAAGCAGAATCCACCCACCCTGTGTGTCTGAGTTTCTGTTGTACTGGAATCTTGTACACCATCATGGTAGGGAGGGAGAAGCGAGCTCTCTGCAGACATCAGGGATGTTCTCTCGTTACACGCTTCCTCTTCGCTGTCAGAGTTGTTCATGAAGGTGATCATACTTCCTCCCTTCACAGAGATTTCGCTGAATTAAAGAGCAACAAACTTCTTAGAAAATATACACATGAGGCAGGGAAGAATGGTAAGACAACAAATAATAGCAGAGCAGAACAAGGAAGACCTAGGTAGAGTTTTGGTTATCAGAGCCCTTTTAACTTGTCAGTTCTGCATTAAACACATAATATTCTGTAACTGTATTTTTGGAGCCAGATGGATTTCTAGCACACTAAAGTAGAACTGTACAAAATTTAGAAAATGCCATTTTTGGGGGGTGGGGTGTGAGATTTATTTTTAGCAAGAATTGGAACACTGCTTTTAAAAGGCTTAAGACAAAAGAATATGATGAGCCTGGATGCCCCAATTCATCAAAAATTAATTAGGAAAGAACTACTGACACTTCTGAACTATTTCATTTCATTGCATCATTTCCAGAACACAGGGAAATAGGATATTTAGATGCCCTATTTTATAGAGGACAGTCTTCCCTACTGAAAGGCGTATCCAGTCCAAGTCCAGTTTAAAGACTGAGAATTGTAAGCAGAAGTAGGTTGGGGACCTTAAAGTTGATCATCAGCTGTTCACACCTGAGTAACAAACTAGGCAGGCACACAGAATCATGCCTCGGTGTTAAAATTCACTATACTTCTGATAAGAATTACAATAATTATTTGTAACTATTCATCTGTACATACAAAGTCAGCATATACAACTATTGTGCAAATCTGCACCCTATTTTTGAGGATATAGATTTCTACTTTTTTTGAAATGCTTGAGTGACCTCCACATAGGAAATATTGAGGCTCTGAATGAATTGCAATGTGCATTTAACCCCCAGGCAGCAGGACAAAATATTATACTCTTTTAGTATATTATACTCTTTCCTTGAGGGCAGATTTCCATCTGCCCTCAAGGAGACACTCATTAGGCCCATCAGGAAGAAACCAAGTTTGGCGGCGGACGAGATTGGCAATTACAGGCCCGTCGCCAATGTTTCTTTCCTAAGTAAGGTGGTGGAGAGGGTGGTGGCCGATCAGCTTCAAGCGCACCTGGATGAAACAGATGCCCTGGATCCATTTCAGTCGGGCTTCAGGCCGCGCCATGGCACAGAAACGGCATTGGTCGCCCTGTGTGATGACCTACTAGTCACACTTTACTGCAAAATCCATAAGATATACATTCTACATGTTGTCCCGGAAGAGTTGGAAGCAAGGCCCTCCATATTTCAACTGCTTGCTATGTACTGACTTTTGCAAACAAATAAACAAATGACTGGGGAAAAATTGTACCACACTTCCAGGTATCTGCTACTTTTTGCCATTGGAGTAGTTTTTGCATCCCCTTCAAATGATATATACTGGAATAACATATAATTTTTTTTTTTTAGTGGTATACTACGATGCAGAAAAGCAGAAGTTACATTCTCTGATTGCCGCTATGTTGGCTGTATGTACCCAAAATCTTAATCAGACCCCTAATTCCTAACCATAAACCCCTTAAAATTCTCACTGAGATCAGAAAACACCCTACAACTCAAGATTTTTAAGAAGCAGCAAGAGCACCAATATGAATGCAAAATAAAGATGGAAAAAAATAGAGGGAAAAACAAGCCATTTAGAAAAACTCACTGTCAAGCAGTAGTGATTGCTCCTTCATGACTAATTGGGAATTTTTGAGAATAAACAGAATTTATTTATTTATTTATTTATTTATTTATTTATTTATTTATTTATTTATTTATTTATTTATTTATTTATTGCACCATCTGGCAACCAGGCCACTCTGGGCAGCTAACAACAGTATAAATAACAATATTAAAAGATGATAAATAAATAAATAAATAAATAAATAAACAAACAAACAAACAAACAAATAAAAGCTAAATAGGGTAAATTAAAACAGACGGCAATAAAGGTGGTAAAAGGGGTGATGGAGATGATGACAAAAAGGACATTAAAAGGGGGGGGGGCGAGATCTTAATGCTCTGGGAAAGCCTGACAGAAGAGCGAAATCTTCAATGTGCACCACACCCAAAGGATACCAGCACTGGTGCAGAATGATCACAGGCTTCAGCTGGCAAGTACACAGATGTTGTAGAGATCCTATATACCAGAACCAAGGGCCAAAAAAAGCACCCCTTTGTTATGAAGACACATGTGACCATGCATACATGTGTGTGCAGTGCCTATCCCTGACCTAAATCCTCTTTCAAACATACCTGTGCCCTGCATCATCATGGAAGGTTGTAAAAGCTAAGGACTTAAAATGCTTCAAGCAGTGCTTTAGAATAGGGGTCTCCAAACTTTTCACACGGAGGGCCACATAACTTATTTGCGATATTTTTGAGAGCCAAAAGAACATGCATGGACACTCACCCGCCCTTACTCATGCATGCCTGCTTGCATGCACACACACAAGGATGGGCTGGAATAAAAGGTCAGGCGGGCCGGATATGGCCCCTGGGCAGTACTTTGAAGACCCCTGCTTTAGAAAAACTGCCCTAGCTTTAGAAAAAGCTAGAATTTTCCAGATGTGTTTGACAACTGCTTCCATCTTCTACTTCCAGATGTATTGCACTACAGCTCACATCCACCCCATTACATTCCAGCATTCCTATTCCACAGCAGATCTCTCCAATGGGCATTACACTGCTTTTTCAAACACTGTTTTTAATTCCTTCAGTAAAATGAACATTACATGAAGATTAGTGCCTTCATTATCAGTTTTACTTCTTTCATGGGTTCCATTTCTTAGAGAAAGGCAGCACATATGTGCAGATTAAGTTAACAATAATAATGCTTCTGGATTATGAAAGCAGTACTCATCATCTCCCATCACTTCCCCATTTCGTTTCCTAAAAGATGTATGACACTAGGCTCCAAACGTCTATACGTACCATGTGAGTAATATTTGGCTCAAGCTGTTAAGATGTGAAGGGTGATGTGATATAGACAAAAAAGGACAAGATACAGCACCACCACTCTGCCCAGAATTCTAAAACAACAATTCTAAAATGCAATATATCTGTAGATGCATGTTTCTGTAACACCCATTCATAACCACTGGTGTATAGCGTTTGGAATTATGTATCATAGAATCATCAAATAATTGATTTGGAAGGGGCTTACAAGGGCATGGAGTCTAACCCTCTACTCAATACAGGAGTCCAAAGCAAACCAGATCCGACAGATGGTTGTCCAATTTTCTCTTGAATGTCTCCAACATTAGAATGCTCACTACCTCCCGAGGTAATTGGATCCACTATCATACTGCTTTAACAATTAAGAAGTTTTTCTTGATATTCAGCCTAAATCTGGCTTCCTTTAGCCATTATTAAATGTCCTGCACTCTGGGAAGATCAAGATCAGATCCTGCCCCTCCTCTGTATGACTATCTTTCAAATATTTGAGAAGTGCTATGAAATCTGCCCTTTGTCTTCTTTTCGCAAGGATAAACATGTCCAGCTCTTTCCTCAAAGGGCCTGGTTCCCAATCCCCTGATCATCCTTCCTGCCCTCTTCTGAACCTGCTCCAGTTCATTATATAGAAGGAATGTTTTCTTGCATAAAGGAAAACCTGGCTCCAAATCTCTGAATATTCATCATTCTTTGTCACAGAGTTCATTTGACCTAATTACTACTTTGAGCAAGGCCTCTGCGGTTAACATCGAGTTGGGAGACCTAGATTCCACCTTAACCTGGGCCACTCTCATTTAGAAAACTGCATGCACCACCACCTCTTTTCTTCCTAAAATACATTCTGTCTAATAAGGAGAAAAAGAACAAGAAAACATAGGAGGGTGGCTGCTTAATAAAAACATTGTTAGTAAGTATTCCAGGATTTTATGTCAGTTTATCAGGTAAATTTTTTTAAAGTTCTGTGTAAGAATTCCTGTTCTTTCAGTAACTCAGTTGAGTTTTATATGTGAGTTGTTCATGTGCAAGGTTTGTGGGATGCAGTGGGTAGCTAGCTCCATGTTGAACACCATTACTCTTATTACCTTTCCACCACCTGGCACAACGAAACATAGAGGTTTTTTTTTAATAGATCAAGCTGAGGCTTATCCACCCCTGTGTGGAGACAGGCAATGCTGAAGGATGGCAATGACATTTATTGTTTAAGAAGCTAAAAAGTTCTCCTTGCTTTCCTTTAATCACTACCAAAATCCTTTGCTATAATGAAAAGTCATTGTAACAAAAGGAAGAAGTCCTTTGGAGGGAGCAGAACTCAACAACAGACCTCTGCTTGTCTAAACTTTATCAGCATCACCTTTGGGGTGGTGCTGAGAAGAATTAACAGCTTTCTTTCTGTGCATAAATATGTCACATTCGTTTCTAATCCTAAAGTAGAATCCTGCTTTTCCAAGCTAAGAACCATTTCAAGGTTGAAAAGAAATAAAAAGCAAGCTAACAAATATAAAAACAGATTAATAGTCAATGCATGACTTTTACATCTGAAAGGGGAAAGATACACTAAAGGAATGCAACTATAAAGAAAAACAAAAGCAATCTATATTGATGGTTATCTGCCATCAACAACCAAAGAGAGATGTGAGGAAAAAA